ATTGATGTCAAAGGACTGATGTCAATTTGATTTACGTTTTTTGACCAAATTTTGATAACAATTTGATATCGGTGTTTGATGTCAAATTGATGTTTAATTGACATCTTTTGCCCACTGGGAAAGCACGTGCGTCCTCCTGCAGATAGGCCGGGATTTCCGTAGCAAGGTCTTCACAAAGGGGGGAAATTCCACACAGCGTTCAGCTCCGGATTTCCCCATCTCACCCAGTTCAGCGGGCGCTATGCATGATGGGACACTGCGATCCATGACTTTTGACGCAGGAAAACAAAAGCTATTTCCAGTTAGCTTTCTTTTCGCATTTCACATTAATTGGGGTGTGGAAACCCAGGAGGAAGATGGAGGTTGATCTCGCGCTCTGAGTTTTAAACCCTGAATGAAGTAGGGGTATTTCTTGAGCTCATGCATGGACCAATCACCTCATGAGCTGATTGGTCCATGCATGAGCTGACCGTCCCTTTTGGCTGGAATTTTCATGAAGTTTGCAGAGCATCTTTTGTTCTCTTCGTGCAAAGGAAAGGGGAATGGTTTGAAATGGTGCATCCAATTGATTCGGGCTCCATTGTGGCAATACATCCCAACAATTGCATTCACAAATCACTTGCACATTCTCTGAAGATCTGCTCTGTTGGTACAAATACCTTTTGCAAGCGTTTTAGGTAGAGACAGACCTATACATCAGCATTTTTCTTCTTGTTTTCAATATTGGCCTATACGCACATGTTAAGGCTGCATTCTGCAACCATGCCTTCAAGTCAAGAGGGGCACATGCATTGCCATTCCCTCCATTAGCTAGCTATCAATCATCTTTAGAGTGATTGGTAAATAAAAGTTTACATTTAGACTTATGGAACATTGTTTATGTCCTTCTTATCATCTAAGTGTTGGAACAAAAATCTATATATGCTGCAAAACTTAAGCCAAAGATATCGGCAGCACATTTCAGGGATCTGTTAGACTGATGGCAAAATAGTCAGTATGGACACTTGCAGTTGAACAGTCTCATTGTCTAATATGTCATTGGTTTCAATAGGTAAGTGGTTGTGCTGTAAATGCTAGCTTTCTTGGTTGAATCCCTGCTTTTTTGTCTCTGTCATTTTGTCCTTGAGGACCTCAGCCATTTTTCCTGCTGTTGGAGGAGGGATGGCAAACAATATCACCTCCGCCAGTCTTCAGAGCAGTTCTGCCTACAAGATTGAGAGTCTTTGCACTTGATAAAATGCTATACTATTTACTTTACAATAAAAAGTAGGTCAATGTCTTCGGAAAAAGTATTCAACTTTGCAGTCGAGTTAAATAAAAGAGATTGATGTGATTCACTCAGCCTCGACTTTATCCTCTTTGCAAATGTGAGAGACGACAGATCACAACAGACAGTTAGATGTTCTGCCTGCACTGACCAGACAAGTTTCTCACTAACTTAAATTCTGCAAAGGCGTGTAAGGAAGGGTTTTTTGCAAGTTTCAATTATCTATGTGTAAAATTTAATCTTACCAACTCAGACCACTTTAGGTATTTACAGATTCACCACTTTAGTTCTACCAACACACCAGAAATTCCGAATTAAACCAGAGCCTAATGTTTTGGATGATGTTTGCACTCTCTCAATTCAATTAAATTCAGTTTATTTATATAGCGCCAATTTACAACACAAGTCATCTAAGGCACTTTACAGTTCAACCAGATCATGCAGTCAAATTGATTCAAAGTTTTCTATCTAAGGAAAACCAGTTGATTGCAATGACTCATTGACTCTCTCCTGATCTAAACGGCCTTATTTCTAGAATTCACTCCATAAATACCTTACAAGGGGAGAATATTTATGTTAAGGTGAAAGTTAAGTGGGATAATGAAATGGGAGAGGTAATTCCAGATAGCATATGGGAGGAGGTTGTGCGTAGGGTGAATGGGACTACATCCTACATCGCGTTTAGCCTTAATTCAGTTTAAAATCGTACACAGGATGCATTATTCTAAAGGTAGACTGGCAAAAATATTTGAGAATGTGGATGAAAATTTTAATAGATGTCTTACTGCCCCTGGAACTATAACACATATGTTTTGGTCATGCCCATCCTTGAACTCATTTTGGTTTGGAGTGTATAAAACAATTTCTGAAATCATAGGAATAGAATTTCAGCCCAATATGTACACCTCAACTTTTGGAACAGTACCACTTGATAGTATGGGTATCTCTAGCTTCAAAGATATAATATCCTTTTTAACTTTGATAGCTAGAAGACAAATTCTGTTTGGGGGTTTACAGCACCAGTGGCTAATGTTTTTTGGACAGTAGGCTGACGGGAAAGGTGGTATGAGAGAGGGAGAGAGACATGCGGCAAAGGACCACAGGCTGGATTCTAGCCCGGGTCTGCCGCATTGAGGACTAAGTCCTCCAAACATGGGTCGTGTGCGCTAACAGCTATTCCACCAAAGCACGCCCGATTTTTTACTTTTATATTAAATCATGAACTTTTCAGGAAAATCTATGAAACTGTGAGAAAATAAACAAAGATCCTATTCAGTAGTTTGAACTTGTCCATTTTCTGTCTCCTTTCAGTTCGGCAGACCTGTACGTCAGGGATCACTTTCACCCCTCCATGGCTAAAAACAACAGACTGAGGCCTGTTCGCATCAAAGCAAACAGTCAATATGCGCTGGCTGCCACAGATCAGGACACTTTAAAATATTGTTTTCTCTCAGAAGATAGAAAGTCCTTCTTGCCCCCTACTAGAGCTGCCCTGGAAAAACACAACGTGGTGGTGACTACAACAACCATGGCAGGACAGTTTCATGACCTGAAACTCCCAGACGGATTCTTCACCCATATCCTGATTGATGAAGCCTCTCAGATGCTGGAATGTGAAGCCTTGTTGGCTCTTAGTCTTGCAGGGCCGACCACCAGGGTTGTTCTGGCTGGAGATCACATGCAGATGGGACCCCAGCTCTTCTCTGTGGATGACCACCGTCGTTCAGACCACACACTCCTCACTCGTTTGTTCCACTACTATCAAGGCCAGAGGTGTGATGCCGCCCTGAACAGCAGGATCATTTTTAATCAGAACTATCGGTCAACTAAAGAGATTGTGGAGTTTGTCTCCACCCACTTTTATGTTGGTAAGAATGATGTAATTGAAGCTTCAGGAGACGTTCCAGCTCCTCCAGATGGTCATGCTCTCCGTTTTCACCATGTTCGGGGAGAATGTCACTTGGACACCATGTCCATGACTTGGTACAACAAGCAAGAGTCTTTGAAAGTTGCTGAAGTTGTGAAGGACATTCTGAAAAACTGGCCACAGAACTGGGGGCCCAAGGACCTAAAGTCCATTTGTGTTCTGTCAGAAGGTGATCAGGTAAAATACTCTGATTATTTTAAAGTTTAAAGTAGTATGAAATCATATTTTGTTTGAGATTTTAGAGTTAACTTTTTACCAACCGACAGTGGATTTGTTAATGCTCAGTTTTTCTTTCTGCCAATGCTGTTGGCTCCATATAAAACCCAGTGTGAGCAAACATGGAATTCAGACATCTGCCATATATGGCAGATGTATATGTCTGCCATATATGTGATTCATATTTGGTTCCCAGAGTAAACCTTTTGGCAAAAACAGCTGAAAGTTTTATAATTTTAAATTGTCATTTTTCAACAGGTTCGACAGATCAGAGCCGTGCTTTCAAGAAAGGATTTCTCTGAAGTCAACGTTGAAACAATTTCTAACGTACAAGGTAACCTTTATCTTGTTATTGGAAATCCTGTAGGTTCCCTAAACATCAGTTGTTAGAGTGTAACTGATTTTCCCTCACTTGGGTCAATTGATCATATTTTAACAGGCAAGCAGTTCAGGGCCATAATTCTGACAGCTGTACAAACCCGCAACAGCCTTAAGGAATCCAGCCTGTCCGGACTGCCTCTCTTCAATGACGCTCGTGTCCTAAACACTGCAATGACCAGGGCTCAGTCTCAGGTGACTGTAATAGGAGATGCTGCAGCCCTCTGCTGCTTCGGGAAGTGCTCCAGATTCTGGCAAAGCTTCATTAATCACTGCATCAGCAAAAACAGTGTAGAACCCATTCATTACACCAAGGGTTTCTTTGAACAAGATGTAGGGGAAACTGCCAGGTTTCAGAGGGTGGAAGAGGTGGATGAGAGCAACACCATCTCTGACTCAATCCTGCAAGAGTTAAGAGATGAATATGAACAGATGAAGACTGAATATAGCTCGGATGAAGATAGTTTGGACGGATTTGTTGAGTTTAAGAACAAAGATTTTACCCATCAGCAGTTAGTTTCTAATAATGGAAAAAATCTGAGGGAGTTATGTGATAAACGACCAGATTTGTTCATGAAAGGAAAGTTTATTAGGAATTCTTATAAGGATGGTTACGTCATTCCTTTTCAAAAGCCTGTCAGGCATATATACATTGAGGGAAAAGCCAACATAGGGAAGGCATTCACTGGAGATGAAATTCTCTTTCAAAGACGGACTGCTGAGGGACCAGCTAGGGTGGTCGGTATCATCAAGGAAAATAAATCTGCTCGGGAACTCCTCTGCTTCCTTGAGGAAGAAGATCACAGCAAAAGACCTTCATCTAACTTAAATGAATTTGTAAAAAGGTTGATGATTCCAATCAATAGAAGTGCACCTAAAATAACCATTCTGATTAAGAAAAACAGGCGTAAGTTCCTACCAATATGGGAGCAAACCAGTGGCGCCAGGTTTATCACAAGATTTTGCCATTTCAGTGAAGTCAGGAACATGGTTTTTCAGGTGCAGGTCATCAAATGGAAAGACAACTGCTATTATCCTTTGGGAAAAGTTACAGATGTTTTCTCATATAGAGGACTCTTAGACGACCAACTTTGGCTGCTGAAAGAAGAATTAGACATTGAAACAAATATTTTGGAGCCATATGAAGATCTTCAAGATGAAGATAAAGATAGTGCAAAGAGACAGGATGAAATAAAGCTATTGACTTTCACTGTTGATCCGAAGGGAGCAAGAGATCTGGATGATGCCATCAGCATTAGGGATGATGGAAACTATTATCAGCTTGGAATCCACATTACAGATGTGGCAAGTTATGTGAGTCTAGGTAGTGAACTAGACAGAATAGTAAAAAATCGTGGTTCCTCACATTACACCGAAAAAGAAACCATTCATATGTTCCCTGAAAACCTGAGTATTAGACGTTTTAGTCTTCTGCCTGGTCAGGACCGCAGGGCCGTGTCCTTGATGTTCAAAGTTGAAAAGGAAACACACAGGATCCTCGAGGATCCAAAGTTTCAGCTTTCCCTGATAAGGTCCAATTGGCAGTTCACGTATGAAGAAGCAGAGGACATCATTACCCAAAGATACAGAGAGCCCCCAAAATTCGACACAGTGGAGGACTGTTTGACCGTGGCCTACCACTTTGCTAAAGCTCAGAAGAAGATAAGACAGGGGAATGAATGGCCATATTCTCAGTGTGATGACGACAGGTTTCCTGGGAGGCGTAAAGCCCACCAGATGATTGAAGAAATCAGTGTGTTATTTAACAGCTCTGCTGCCAAGTTTCTGTGTGATGCCGGTATGACCAGATACCACACCCCACTCCGCTGTCAGGACAGGCCAGAGCCTGAGAGGCTGGAAACATTCAGGGAGAAATGTAGGGAAGTGATACCACTGTCTTTTAGTGTGCAACAAAGACTCAACATTGAGGATCTAAACCTGCCTCAACCTGAACCAAACAGTGAGCATTTTCCCATCCTAGAATCTGTGTGGAAAGATATCCAGTCAGCTCTAAGAGAAAATGATACCGACAGACTGGTGGACCTCATAGCAGCTGATGACATTCATCCTTTGTTGCAACCTGTCATTTATGAATTTCAAAGGTGCCACAATAAAGCTTATTACATCCGCTCAAACTCCTGTCCTGAAGCAGCGATTGGACATTTTTCTCTCAATTTAAAACCGTACACACAAGCCTCCTCACCAATAAGGCGTTATGTGGATCTGGTCTTGCAAAGGCTCTTGCATTCTCTCATATGTAACGTTCCTCCGCAGTACGAACACTCTGAGATTGAAGATCTGTGTAATCAGTTTGACCCGGTTGCAAAGAAAGCTAGGCAGTTCGAGCAAAAGGCTCAGCAGGTCCACTATGCAGTGAGCACCAAACAGCAGAGTGCACCAAAGCTAGCCATCGTTGTCTCTGCAGATCCAGAGGAAGAGAGCTTCAGAGTCTCATTTCCTTTTAGCAGGCATATATTTGGGTTGCCTTTATCCATCATGTTTAGAGAGTTACAGTTAGAGGACCAACCAATCTACGACTCCAGGAGGAATACCATGACCCTAAAATGGAGTAGAAGGATATATGCAGCCAACGAACAACAGATCCACCAAGAGTTGATCAGGATGTCAGGTCGTGGTGCATCCATTAAGATTCCCCTGACAGTATGGACTGCAGTAATTGAAGCAGTTCAGTCAGAAGACTTGGATCAGGCTAAGTTCCTCCTGATGAAAGCTGAGCCGCAGGAACCAGAACCAGAAGTCTTACCTGTACCTTCATCGGCCACTTCTCTGGAGCACTATAATGAAATTCCTCTTCAACTGCAGCCAGGTGATACCATTCAGGTACAGATGACATCAGAGGAGAAAAGGGGCTCTGATTTACCCATTATACAATTGGTGCACATTAATCCAAAGTTTGAGATTTGTGTCCAGCATGTCCATGACCCCTGCTCATGCTATACCCGACCTGCCTATGTGCTATCAAAGCCTCATTATAAAGACACAAACGACTATATAGGAATCTGGAAGCCCATGTGTGAGATGGAATCTGCATCAAATGCAGTGGAGGAAAGTGACAGCATCATCATTGAGGACCTCGAGGTAAAGTTTACTCGCAGGGATGGAAATGTAATGACAGGAAAGTTCTTCTTACATCAGAAATGGATCAAAGACTGGATTATAGAGTTCTACCTTGATAAGTGCTTCCTTTGCATTCGGAAAAGAGGTCTGAAATTGCCTGAACCTCAAAATCATTCAGCACCAGTAGACCCAAAAGAGTTCACATGGGTGGCACATGGCATCACAACCAATGTAGAAGAGGGAAAAGCTGGAAGTGAAGTGGATTTTAGTGTCAGTCACCTGCCAATGGAAAAAGTTCCTGAATGTGTTTCCCAGAAAAACATTCTTTATACTGCTGAGATCATCCCAAAGCTTCTGCCTGACATGTGAGTTTAAGTTGACCTTAGTTTCTTTTTGAATATCGATGAACGTCCATGTATATGGCTAAACCTTTGCTCTCTCAGTCCAAAATCTATGTTTTTCTTTGTTTTGCCTCAGCCGGAAAGAAGCTGCTGTTGTTAGCCTGAATGGAGCATGTGACCTGGTGAAGAGGATTGCACTCGGACAAAAGATCCCTAAAAAAGGTAAAAACAGTATGGAACAAATTATGTGATTCAGGAGGCCGCTTCCTCCTGCCACTAGAGGGGGTACTGGTGTTGTATGTAAGATGTATTGTGTTCACGTACTGTTTTCACTGCTGAGCTGCGTGCTGTTCAGGCTATCTCCGTCTGCTGAAACTAGGGTTGTCAAAAGTATCGAAACTCAAAAAAGTATCGATACTGAAATGTTGTATCCGGATACAATAAAAAAAGAAAAAAAAAAAAGAAACTAGGGTTGTCAAAAGTATCGAAACTCAAAAAAGTATCGATACTGAAATGTTGTATCCGGATACAATACTCGTTTTTAAAAGTATCGATACAGTGCCGTCACCAGTGGGGGGCACTTACATTTTTATGTTATCAGATTGAGACCTTGTCCATGTTAATTTTATGCTGATTTAATTTTATGGTGTTTTTTTTTTATTAAAGATGTTGCCAAAGGTTATTGGATGTAACATAAGCTAGTTAAAGGGTAAATGTATTAGCCAAACCTGTTAATGAAAAAGTCCATTGGAGGCCATTTTATATTTCAGGTAAAAGGTATAAGAGACAATTGTGAGGTTCAGTAGAGAGAACCCGGACAGTGTAGCTGGGTGTACTTGATGTTAATTATGGTTGGTTTGGATGGGATCCTTGAACCCCAATCGGCCTCAGCAGATGGCCGCTCACACTGAGCCTGCTTCTGCTGGAGGTTTCTTCCTGTTCAAAGGGAGTTTTTCCTCTCCAGTGTTGCTACAAGCATACTTAGTGTGAGGGATTGCATCCGAGTCAATGAGTCGATACATTCAACTGGTTTATCTTAGATAGACAACGTCAAATCAATTTGACTGTATCATCTGGTGAACTGTAAAGTGCCTTGGGATGACGTGTGTTGTGAATTGGCGCTATATAAATAAACTCAATTGAATTGCTAACTTATTCGATTTTGGTCGTGGGCAAGAAACTGTCTGGATGGATTAAAGAGTGGGTAACAGTAGAGAAGCTGCAGAGATGTGTGTTAAACTAGGACTCTGCTTCCTGGTCTGCACCCTGGGTGGTCAGGGTTTTGGAGGACTAATAAATGTGGCCAGATTCCTAGAAAGAAGAGCTGCACCATCCAAAGTGGGATGGATGCCGTCTCTCCCTATCACCCCAGACTTTCCCCAAAAGGATTGCCAATTATTAACGTAGTCCACGTTGTTTTCAGGACACCACCTAGAGTCAGACATTGTTTTGGCAAACTTACACACCGAAGCAACACTAATTTTATTGACCTCTGATCGGCGTAACAGGGTGTCATTACCGCCA